CTAGATAAGTAATAATACTATTTCTTATTGTTCTTGCTTCTTTTCAGTTTTGAAGTTTTTATTATATTTATTATGTTATGTTTTAATAGATATTTGCATTTTTAATTCAATATTTTAGGGCTTTTGTCTCAAATTCAGTTAAGTTGGTTTATGTTGTTTGATGTGTGAGATTTAAGTCACCTATATTTGTTTCTTTACTTGTGTTCATGTTAATTTACTCATGACTGATTACTTAATAATTTGATATTAATTTTATTAAAAATCTTAATTTCTTGTCCATTTTACTTTGAAAAACCATCCCTTGTTTTCTCATTGATGAACTGCTCCACCATTTAACAAAAATTAGTCAGTAGGTACCGAAAGTACCGAAAAAAACGGGAAATCCCGGTTCCTAAGAGGTGCGGTACCGAAATTCCCGGTTCCGAAATACAGCTCCGATTCTGGAAACCCTATACTTATGATTGATACAAGTCGAAACGTTGTATATCGTTTCAAAATTAAAGGCATGGTCAGCCCAAGAAGATATATTGTTTGAAAATTCGAATCTCGAGAAAGCGAAACGCGAAACTCATGAATCTGGAATATCTATCCGCAACCTGGAATGGGAATCCTCCAACGCTTTAAGACACTCGAAGAACTTTCTCAGAACTACGACCGAGAAAAATCAAAGATTTTTCTTGATTTAAGTAAAAACAATCTTCGGATTGTCGCGGGGTTTGTCAACAGGATACTGTCCCCTCAACGAACAGTTCAGTGAATTGAAGCTAAGAAGCAACGGCGAATGCAAATTCTTTGGGGAAAATGGAAATCGGGGAAGTTAGCAACTCATTGAAAGCAGGAATTATAAAATATCCGATCCTGTTTGGGCTGCTACAATCCTGCTTTATCCTAGGGGGCGCCAAATCATAATATAATATCACAGAATATCTAGCTACGCAAATAATATGGTTGAAAATAAAAAAAAATGCTCCACAAAGCGCCTAGTATGCACCTTACGTTCTTCTATCAAGTATTCATTTTATTTTAAAACGCCTAGTTAGTTTTTAAACACATTCTAAAGTTTCATTTAGAACCTCGCAATTAGTGTAATAAATTAGCGGTTTCAATAATTACGCTTTTTACTTTTTAGTTTACGATCATTCCCAATGTTTAAAAAACACAATTAAAATTAATAGAATATCCTAACAACAGCTTGCGGTAGTCAGTTGTATCCATAAAGAAAGCCAAATATTTAGCTTATAAAACAATAAACTTTTGATTTCTAACCATGATTTCTCTTGACGGATGCTAATCAATGGCCAAAATGACATTTCCCGCAAAATTTGAAGTATATTTAGTGGAAAACTTAAAAAGTTTGTTTACTTTTTCTACTAATTGAATATGACTACCAATAATTTAGACGTTCTGAATGCTTACATTGAAATTAAAGGAACAAATTTCTACGCTAATTGAAACCACTAATTTATTCCACTAATTCGGAGGTTCCGAATGAAGCTTAAGGGCTAATTCTGTCCCGTTTACGAAAAATGTCTACCTATATCTAGATATTTGTAAGTTTTTTAAATTAATTTATTGCAAACGCTGGAGAGAGGGGGCGCTATAATCAATTTTTTGCCCCGGTTCACAAAAATTTTTGATCCGGGGCCTCACCTGTAAAATGGGGAAACACCAGAACACCTGATCACTTAGTGCTCCGAGACGATAACTATTCGTACCATGAACTTTGGCATGACTGATATCGGAGATGGGGAACTAACCTTTGTAAAACCGTCTCAGACACTGATGGCTTTTGTCAAAGCTCTGAGATTGTACGATGAGTTATAACGCAAGAAAGGGGGACACAATAGATCTAAGGTCGCGGTGACTAACCCCCTCCCATACATTTTAGTACAACTAGTTGAAAAAATGAAGGTATGAAAAAACACTTAAAATAGTCTGTTTCCCAACTAATTGCTTACTTATTAACTTGCTTACTTACAACTAGTTGCTTACTTATTATAAATATATTATACTTATTTTTTTCAATAAAACATTTTTTCCGACATTTTCGAAACATTTTCTCTAATTAATTAACAATCAGCTCAAACCTCTATTGATACAACCACCAATTATTTATCCAATATAAGCCCCTTTTCTTGACCGATGGAAACGAGACAACGCTGAAAGACAGCAGGCCTTCGTTCAAAAAAAAACACGCCACAAACGTAAAGTAACTACGGCTTTCCTCCTCGACGACAAATCTGCTTAACAAGTCAAAATATTTCCGAGAAAATCGAAAACCAACGATCGAAAATCTAATCCCACAAAGGGAAATGTACCGACCGAAGAAAAAAAAATAAATGTAAAAGACGAAACCGCCAAAATAAGAAACTATTTTGCTTGTTACCTTTCTAGGTCCTAATCTGTGTGCATTGAAAGTTGGGGTGTACCGAGAAAGGTAGCCAAGCGTAAGAAGTAATTTCTGTAAATCTGATTAAGTGCCGGGAAGGTACAAAGATGGACGGCGGGAGGTTAAACGAGAGGTGGAAGGTGAATTGTTGTGTTTTCAGTGCAACCGTTGAGTAAAGCAAAGCAAATATTAAATAAACGTACTGGCCGAAGATTCGTTTCTTTAATTACCACTACCATCCTTTTCTCGAAGGTATTAGCGGCACTTTTGACCACCCTGTAACTTCGTTGTGGATAAAGCAAGAATATTAATTTTCACTACACATGAAGACATAATATAGCCTAGCTAGGTTACCCAAATATCTATATAATAATTATACCTCATAGTTTATGAATTATCGCTTCTCAAGTTTCTTTAATTTCGACATTGACTCACTGACATCATCAAAATTCTAAGGCACTTCTAGAAGAGTTACAAACTTCAAATTTTGAATTTTAGGTAGCTTTAAGCTTATAACCCAAGGAAAAAATGAAAAATCTCAAAATATCCTTATGGATTAAAACTTTGCTGTCTAGCCGCTAGCGGTAATTGACTTTAAAGTCGAGAAAAAGGTAGAAAACTAGAATTAATCGAAGCGGTCTATTCTGATTTTATTTGTATATGAATGTACCAACAATAATTGAAAGGTTATGAATTTTTTCTAGTCAAACTTTAACTCTGCCAGTGACTCACTCGCCCTCATCAGAATTCTAAAATATTTCTAGAAGTGTTACAAACTTCTAAATTTGAATTTTAGGTAGCATTAAGTTTATAATGGAAGGAAAAAATTAAAAATCTCGAAATATCCTTATGGATCAATAGTTAGCTGTCTAGCCGCTAACGGTAACCGAATTTCCGGCGATGGTAATAGGAGGACCGGTGATAGGATTGTTTTGAAAATTTGAATTTTATTCAAATCAATTTTCAAAATCAAAATTTTATCAGCGTTACCAGTGTTGCCGGATCATTTAAAAAGTGGTAGCATCTTTGTTATTTAAATGGAACACCCAGTATATTATTAAATTTTTGGAAACTACTCTCATATTTCATAATTTTTCTATTATACTAACCTATACCTATCTTTTATAGTTTTTGAGACAAAAAATAAAATATGTAATGTAAAATTGACAAAAACATGATTTTGAATAAGCATTGGTAAAATCACGAATTGGACATTTTTAAAGGTGACATTTTGGTTAGAATGAAAGTCGGAAACACAAGTCGATAGAAAATTAAAATTAATCCATTTGAGATTTATGACTTTATACGATAATTCAAAGTATGAATTATTGCCCCCCCCCCCTTTTCGCTAACCATCATCAGCAGATGATCGGATTGAGAAATAAGCATCTAATGTAAAAAGTAAATTGTTCTGGCGTGTTGTGGTGAATTGGCGTTTTATTTTACCTAGTATAGTTTTTAGTTTTAATTAAGTTATATTGAATGTTCACAAAGAATCTGAGAGTTAGTGGGGTGGCAGTCGGAAGGGTTTGGACTGCATTAATACACTTTGTTAATTGCCAAGCTTTCGGAATTTATCTGTTTCATCCTTAGGAGATTAACGTGGTAGAACCTTCTATAAAAACTACATTAAAAAATTGGCTTAGCGGACACATTAACGACTTCACAGCAAAAAGATCACTAACTAATCAACCACATTGTGGGTGATAATCGGGTGATTAAATGGCGCTAAAACGCGTTTAATTTTTTAATGCAGTTTTTATAGTACGACATATCTATATAGTCGATATGTCCTACTACCATGATCCAGAGAAAGATCTGAGAAGCTAAATAAACAGAGCAACGGCCATGTCAGGATGTCTGAAGCAAATAGTGTGGTCAAACCAATTCATCACAAGACAGCAAAATTAAAATTTATAAGACCTGCATCAGACCAATTATAATATATGGCATAAAAAGAGAAAACAAACAAAACCAAAAGCATGTTAGAGTCCCTGAAATGAAGAACCTAAGAACCATAATGGGGAAGACTAGAAGAGGTAAAATTAGAAATACAAATATCAGACAACAATGGGGTAGGCAAAGAAAAAGACAATGGTTCGCATACGTAAAACGCATGGAAGAAAACAGGCTACCACTCATAGCTCTTGATGGGAAACCCATGGGTAAGAGACAGCCGTTAAGACCTCCAAAAAGATAGAAAGACAGTTGCCAGTCCATCTCCCAAGAACTCCTACAGAGGCAACCTTAAAACTAATAGATCGATTAGATCTTAAATAAGTAGAAGAGAAAGTTTTCTAGAAGGTGTTACCACGTTGATGTCCTGAGGATGGAATAAATAAATTCCAATAGCTTGACAATTAACAAAGTCTGATGTTCAATTCAGTTTCCGACTGCAACCCCACTAGCTCTTAGAGTCTTTTTTCTCACTAGTCATCAGTCGTTACTACGGTCTGCTTAAATTTTTGCTGTATAATATTTTAGAAACTTCAAATGTACATATTTTGTTTGATTTTTTTTAGTTGAATTATTATCTTTGAGATTCTTAATTCAATAAAATGTTGTCGCGTAGGCTTTACGTAAATCATTAATATTTATTTTTCTTTTTCAGTGAAAAATACAGGCTTCAAAATTACGCAGCTGGAGCAGCCAGGCCAGAGTGGGTGCTCTATACAGCACCCAGCGGTCGCCTCAGCTGGGCATAACAGCCTGTACGACCACCAGCAGCAGCAAGTGCATCAGCAACAACAACAGTGCCTCAGGGCAAATGGACTAGTTAACGGAGTAGCCAAGGGCATACCTCACGCTAGCCCGCTCGCAACCGCTGCTCCCACTCACAGTTTCTTTCCGCAGTTTAATATGGCGGCTGCCTGGCCAAATTACCATTCCCTAAGACTGCACCCGTTCGGCAACATACCAACAGTGTCAGCATATCCGCCAGGTAAATACAACTTTTCCTATTACAATACAGTACAACTAGTTCCAAACTGGAAAATCGGGTTACCTACTGGTTATAAAAAAATACTTAGATTAGCAAACTTTGAAAATGATATATCACGCAATTGTTGAAAGTCACATTAGATACGATATAGTATTCTGTATTCTATAGTAGTTGTGGTGATATTGAGAAATTCTCAGATGCAAAAAAACGGGCCTGATGATGGGAATAGTTTAAATTATGCCCCCTTGCTTTTTTAAGCATTAAAATTTAAATTAAACAACTTAAAGATTATGAGTTATTGTCCTTTTACCCGCCTTGAAAGGTTTTGCTTTGATGTTACATTTTTGTTATATTTAGCCCTATTTTTATGAATTTTTTAGCAAACTGTGTATAATTATATCAACATTAATTCGTAAACTAAGTTTTTTTATATACTTTAGTATTTGGCATATTATACAGGGTTAGTCGAGGGGTCGTTTTTTTACCCTAACTTTAAAACACCCTGTGCAATAATTGCGTTTAAATTTTCCGAAAATATAATTTTACTGTCAGAACCATGACTCCTGAGCATTTTGTTTGTTGATTCGTATCAATATATCCTTTGGTTAATTTTTAAGAGCGAAATGAACTGATCACGATCAATTTGTAATTTTTTCAATTATCATTACTTTTTGATTTAATTTTTTAATATAACGAGATGGTTTTGGTGACAATTGTCGTAATGTCATATTACGCTGCCATTTGATACGTTACTAAATAAAAAAAAAATGTTAAAGACTAACGATACAGTCCTGGATTTAATAAGCACTAATAACGATAACAGAACTAACGATATTAAACAAAGCATTTGTAATACTTAAGTATACAAACAGATAAAAAAGTAAAAGTACCCTAATACTTTGCGTTGCTTCCCTTGGCTGCTATAACTGCCCGTATACGTCCGTTGTTGACAGTATGTCATTGAGACTGCATATATCATATTGCGTTATACTTTCCCATTCTTCTTTAAGAACCAAGCGAAGTTCATTTAATGAAGCTGGAAGCGACCTCTAACCCTCCTGCCAAGCATGTCCCAAACGTCGAACATGATGGGCAGTTCATAGTAGTATACAGTTCACAATAATCACCATAACCGGCTTGTCATATTGAAAAATAACTTCAAAAAGAAATGATCATTGAAAAAATTACAAATTGATGGTGTCAAGTTCATTTCGCTCTTCAAAATTAATAAAAGCATATTTTGACATGATCCAAAAAACAAAATGCTTAGGGGACATGGTTCTGATCGCAAAATTATATTTCAGGAAAATTTACACATGAAATTATTGCACAGGGTCTTAACTCGATTAACCCTGTATAATATGCCAAATACTAAAGTGTATAAAAAACTGAGTTTACGAATTAAAGTTGATAAAATTATATACAGGTTGCTAAAAAATTCACACTTTAAATTTGACCAAAAATTTTTCCGTTGCGTTTTTTTGCATCTGAGTGTATGTCAAAAAAGGCATTTCGTATTATGCTAAAAGTACAAGTAAAGTAAAGATTTCAGTTAACGTCTCCTTTTTGCTGCCAGGGCTAATCTGGACGGGGCCTACTTTGTTTATGCGGAATCCGAACCGCGGTCCTCGGCCATATCATGGTCAGTGGTCTACCGACTTAGGAAGTGTCTAAATTAACTCTTACTCACGATATATCCGATCTCATCCGGCCTCGAACCGGCGTGAATGAGCAGTGTGTATCAATAGATTTCACACATTTTCCCTTGGACAACAGCATGATACAGAGTTTCGAACCGGTCACCCGTCCATTCACCAGTATCGCCTTACGTCGCTTAACTTCGGTGTTCTAATGGGAACCGGTGTTTCAACGTAGCTAGACCGTTGCCCGTATTATGCTAAATCTTAAAATAAACGCTGTATTTTGCCGACTTAACTCACAAATTAATACCAATTACCATATAACGCCTTAAAACGCCTTAAATTACATTATATTGATTTAAGTCTTTACGAAAATGACTAGACTTGAAAGAAAATGACTTAAGTCAAAGACTTAAGATCATTTAAACTTTATGACTTAAAGTTAAAGTTGACTTAATATTTAAATAATTTTGATTTTAAAAATTTCTTAAGATTTAAGATTTTAGTTATAGTTACAGATTTATTGACAGTATTAGGATTAAGACATATTTATATTTTATTGTTTTCATCAAACGAAACGACGTTGGACTATGTGCCATCTTGTTGTACATTGTCAAAACATTTGACCAAATCAGTCCTTCTAGTATTTACTACATTTTTTGTCTATTGTAAAAAAACAAAAAAATGACGAGTCATGCTACATAAACTGGGGTGTTTCGTCCAAAGATTTTTTCATCAAGCGTATTACATATATTACACATTTTAATATGGCAACACTGTCGCTTTCAGTTCCATACAGTCTTCGATTTGCCTTCGCTAGCCGAGTTAGAGAAAATAAATGTTTTGTGCGTTGGCCGCAGAACGAGTAGAGGCTCCACCGTACAGCATTTGAGACGTAAGGGGAAATCAAATCAGCCTTGTCACGAATTCGCCCATTAGGCTGCGTATCTTTCCAATTCTTTCAATCAACGGTTCAATTCTCTACAAGAATATGTTTCTACCCAAAAAGTCAAAAATCTCGTTAAACAGTTAAAACATTCTAAAGTTGGAAAAAATAGTCCCATGTTAATCAAATGGAAACTTTTACAGTAGGTATTTTCTTCGTCATTTCCAAAAACATGTTCGATATACACTCAGATGCAAAAAAACGCAACGGAGGAATTTTTGGTCAAATTTAAAGTGTTATATTTTTGTTATTTTTAGCCCTATTTTCATTAATTTTTTATCAACCTATACATAATTATATCAACTTGTACATAATTATATCAACTTTAATTTGTAAACTCAGTTTTTTTTAAACTTTAGTATTTGGCATATTATACAGGGTTAATCGAGGAGTTTTTTTTTGTACCTTAACTTTAAAACACCCTGTGCAATAATTTCGTGTGTAAAAATTTCCTTAAAATATAATTTTACGGTCAGAACCATGTCTCCTGAGCATTTTGTTTTTTGGATCATGTCAATATATGCCTTGGTTAATTTTTAACTACCAATTTGCAATTTTTTCAATTATCATTTTTTTTTGAAGTTATTTTTCAATATGACAAGGCGGCTTTGGTGATTATTATGAACTATATACTACTATAAACTGACCATCATGTTCGACGTTTGGGTCATGCTTGGCAGGAGGGTTAGAAGCGGTACCATTGCAGCTTCATTAAATGAACTTCGCTTGGTTCTTAAAGAAGAATGGGAAAAGCATAACGTAATATGATATATGCAGCCTCAATGACAGTATGAACGGACGTATACAGGCAGTTATAGCAGCAAAGAGAAGCAATGCAATTAGGATATTTTTTACAATTTTTTTTTCTGTTTGTATACTTGTGTATTACAGGTGTTTTCTTTAATACCATTAGTTCTGTTATCATTATTAATGTTTATTATAACCCGGACTGTATCGTTAGTCTTTAACGCTTTTTTAATTATTTATGCATTTTTGATTATCTAATGCACTGTAATATGACGTTACGACAATAGTCACCAAAACCATTTCGCAAAAAATTACATCAAAAAGTAATGATAATTGAAAAAATTGCAAATTGATCGTGATCGGTTCATTTCGCTCTTAAAAAGTAACCAAAGGATGTATTGACATGAATTAAAAAACAAAATGCTCAGGACTCAGGAGTCATGGTTCTGACGGTAAGAATATATTTTAGGAAAATTTACACACGAAATTATTGCACAGGGTATTTTAAAGTAAGGGTAAAAAAACAATCCCTCGATTAACCCTGTATAATATGCCAAATACCAAAGTTTATTAAAAACTTAGTTTACGAATTAAAGTTGATATAATTATACACAGTTTGCTAAAAAAATCATAAAAATAGGGCTAAAAATAACAAAAATAAAACACCTTAAATGTGACCAATAATTTCTCCGTAGCGTTTTTTGCATCTGAGTGTAATTAAGAAAAGAAAAATATTTTTTTTTAAAACAGTCTATTATATAATAGAAAAAATGAAATTTGACGAAACGTACAAGTCGAGGGACTTCCCTGGTGGTGTACCGAGGGCTCCAGAAAGTGCACGTCGCGGCTTTCGGCTATAATCCCCGATAAATGTCGGGAGAGAAAGGGGGATTGCAGCTGGTTAACAAGGCCGGGCCTAATCCCCTGAAACACGCACATAAAGACCAAAAATTGTTGGCTGCAGCAGCCTCTGTCCCGCTGCCCCGCCAGCTCGCGCACCAGCTACCGGTGTTGAGTTTTATGTGAATCCTCCAGATACAGGTCTATAAATTTCGGTCGTTGTTCGTTTATTAATGTCGCATCGGTTTCTTTTTTGGTCGGTTGGTCGGTCGTATTTGGTCCTGCTGATGCTGCTGCGTCGTTATGGACCGTGTCAAGAGTAATCAAAGAACGAAATCGAAAAGAATAAAGTTTATTTAAAATTACAAAAAAAAAACATTTATTAATCTGTATTTTATTTTTCATATATGAAATTATTAGTGTTAGTATTAAGAATTTTCTGTGTCCTAAAGCCGCGTACAGACTTGAGCGCGAATGTGTTGAGCACGTATGTTTAAAGTACGTCTACTGGATCTGTACCTATGAAAGGAATGCTGACAAAAACATTTAAATAAACTGCAATATATTTTATAAAGCGCTACCTAAATAGAAGCGGAAGAGGGTCCACGTGGACTTGACGAGTATATCACCACAAAACACTCCTCCCACTCATTTCATTGGCTACTTGCAAATTTGTCGAATTTTTATTGATGGGAATCGTCGTCTATTTTTTTACGAGAAACATCTAGAGAATGGCGTTTCCCCCCTTACGGACGCCCCATAGCTACAGAACAGGTAGACGTACTGTACGCGTGCGCTCACAAATCACGTGTGCTCATTTCATGTGA